GGTCACAAACGGGGAACAAATAATGAAGACTATTAAGAAGACTTACCAATGCAAGAACAGCTGCAGGATCTTTGAGTGTAAAGCTCAGTTCCTCATCCCACACAGGATTCAGACAATTGTTGATCACTTTGGTCTTGGCTGACTGGTTTTCAAGACAAGGAAAACATCGCATCAACTGATCCTCAAAACTCGTTTTACATCACACAACATATACAAAAACAAATGTAACAGTACTTGGAGGATCTGGTTATCACCAAACTTACCTCATTTCCCAATTTGACTATCACGTAAGGATCACTTGACTTGAAGTCTCGGATTACAAGTTTCTTTCCTTGAATAACAGTCACCTGGAGCAGTCCTAGAGGCTCGCCCATCTAAGATCTTACAAAACACAAAATTACCAACAACGTTAGAAGAAACCAGGCAGCTAAGCAACTTCACACACTTTATTGTACACACTCCTCGTGATATATAAAGCAACTGTCTTTATTAAGACCATGAGTTCAATTTGACAACCAAGAGACAGAGAAAGAAAAAGGAATCACGAGCATTCCAACATAACATTCAAAGGAAACATATAGATTCCGAGAGAAAATCACTCGGTTGTTGGTTCAGCTTCTTGATATATAAAACAAAATTGTGGGAAATAAATTACACAGATTCACACTTGATCTGGAAACAACAATAGTGGATTTCAAGCAACCAAAAAGAGAGATCAAATGCAGACTCGTTTGGTGATTATGCTAGAGGAAGATACCTAAACCGCAAATATTCACAAGTTGATCAAGAGGGAAACACAGAGACTCTACTCTGCAGATGCTACAAAATTGATGACAAGTTTCATCTTTTTACCAAAAAAGGCTCAAACTTTGTGGATAACTCGACTATACCAAAAACAAAAAGAAAATGAAAAAATGAAACCCTAAAGAATGAGAGTAAAGCAGAGAAGAATAGTACTAACAGAGAAGGAACAAGTTTCACTGCGAAATTTGCAAACTTTAGGGAGATTAAAAAACCACTAAATAAAGAAACGGAAAGAGACAGCGACACAGCTTTTAACAACAGCCCGAGAAACAGAAGCTGAAAAGAAGAACCAACTTTACCAGTTTAGAAACAATGAGCAAAACAAAATGGCTCCTCTTCTTGAGATAAACGCAGATCACTTTGCTTCGTAGATATGAGCTGAAAGGAGCGAAGAAGATGCAACCCCAACAAATTACAATAATATCATATATATTTTTTTTTTTGTATTATTAATTGGAGACAAATGTTGTCATAAAGACATATTCCACGGTCTCGACTCTCGAGGTTGCAAAAGAATGTTGACCAAAGTCTTCACAAGTTGTGATTTTTGGAGACCGTAGCTGCAACGTAATCACTTAATTACCGCAAAAAATTAGGTAAACCTAATCCTCATTGAAAAAACTAATCAAAATCTTTTGTGTTCGCGGTAAAACTTTAAGTTACTAACTAAAATATTGTTTATATGCAGCCTTTGACTCGGTCTAATCTGATTTGACTCGGTCTAATCTGCAACTATCTTTTTTTTTGTTGCTGGTATTCTAACAGTAATACGTAAATACATACATCTAGAATGAAATGAAGATAATGTCACACCTTAAATCAGAGTAAACATATCTGATGATATAAATAAGAGTATAAGACCAACAAAATAATGTTGATATATGTATGAATACCTGGAAACGTAAGTTTAAAGAAGAAAGTGACAAAGTAGTGTTTGAGTTTAGAAGAGAAGAGCACTTTGGGGATTAAGGAAGAATGAAAGTCGTAAAATATTACAGAAGAAAACATGAAACAACCCTACAAAATAAACACACACAGAGACTACAATACATGATATGATCACATAAGCATCTGAAGGAGCTTCTTCTTGCCTATTATTCATTCCATCATGGTGGTTAGAACAAGTATATGTATCACTAACCCTACAAATCTCACATTTTTACCACATATACACCACAGCAATCCAGAGACCACCAATATTTCCGGACAAACACCGAGCTTTCTTTGCCGGTGTTTCTTCTACATCATGCATGGTATGCGAAACACCTATGTTGCTTTCTTCGAGTTTGACTTGCCCACTTTACTTTTCCAAGCTCCCTGCACATGCATTCAAAAGTAACCACATATCAGAACTCTCTTACTCATCTTTCGGTTATGCAGCTTGTAAGATAGAGAGAAGTATGTAGATTACAAGAGTCTCATTGTCAGAAGTGTCAGCATCGTCTTCAGCTTCTGTCTCCATTTTGTTGTTTTCTTGTTTCCCCTCCGACTCTGAGTTGTCATTGTCAACTTCAGTTTCTTTCCCCTCAGGGTCTCCACCTGACTCTGATTTTGCCTCCTGCATATCAACTTCCTTGTTTACAGCTTCCTCATCATGCTCGCTTTCTTTTCCTTCAGACTCTGATTTCTCTTCACCAACCTCCCCACCATATTTCGGGTCATCTGTCATCTGCTCTGTGGCTGATTCCATTTTCTTTTCATTTGTTTTTCTAGCAACTGAATCATTTCAAAATAGAACAACTCAGAAACAAAACATAGCATTGTGTAATAAGATTACGTAACACTGTTTATGTACGTATACGTGCATAAAAGTACATAGGTTGAAAAGATCTAGAAACAGTGGGGAGAGCTGTTGGACATAGGAATGGAAGTAGTCCAATGGAGCTTACCTAGCAAGGCAGAAGATCGCCTTTTCTTGTTTCCGCTCTCTACTTTCTCATGTTCTGAAGAGAGACTTTTTTGTGTGCTTTCCGGATGTTTATCTTTTAGGTATTTCTTTGGAGTTCTTTTCCTTTTTGGCCTAG